TGTATTTGAGACTGACCTGGTACTCACTATGTAGCCCAGGCTGGTCTCGAACTCACAGTGGTCCTCCTGCCTCAGCCTCCCGAGTGCTCAATTTTTTAAATATAAAAAAAACACAAAAAATGATAATTTCCTATAATCCTATTATATATACATATAATATATAATATATACATATAATACATATAATATATATTATATATAATATATACAATATATAATATATACATATAATACATATATATTATATATACATACACACACACAGAGGAGGCAAAAATATCTTTTAATTATGCCTTCTCAAAGGTAACCAGAGTTACATGTATCAGTTTATCATAAACTTCCAGATTTTTTCTATAATTATACAGCATGCCCTCCCTCCTTCTTACCCTTCTTCCTTTCTTTTCTTGACAGGGGGTTGTGCTAGGCATACTGTGCTCAACTTGCTCACTTAACATATCATGAATATTTGATTTTTGCTGAATCTTTCCAAGTCACAACACATCAAGCTACTTTATTTTCTTAAGGGTGCGTAGTATGTCATTACATGAATTTATCATAATTTATCCGATTTCTCAGCATCAGGCATTTCATGCTTTTTTCAAGTTTTTGCTATTATAAATAATAGTATGATGAACTTCTTTGAATACCTTTGGGAATATACATCTTTCTATAGGTAAGATTCCTAGGAATAAAGTTGAGTCAAAGCACAGGAATACTTTAGCTATTAACAGATAATGTCAAACTCAAAAGGCTATAGAATTTACATACATGGGGTTCCTTTTCCCCTATTCTTTTGTCGGGCCTGATATTATCAACAGTTAAAACTTTTGCCAGGCATGGTGGCACACACTTGTAATCCCAGCCTCTGGAGACTGAAGTGGGAGGATCACCATGAGTTCGATCCAGCCTGGGAGTTCAAGGTCAGCCTAAACTACAAAGTGAGACCCTGTCCCAAAACACAGACAAACAAAAATTTTTACCGATTAAGATTGGGGGGAAAAATCTAGTTTGATTTGCCATAGAGGGATTGACCATCTACATATATATTTTATATATACATTTATTTAAATATATATTTATATTTATATTTGTTTGTTTGTTTGTTTGTTTTTGTACCAGGGATCAAACTTGGGACCTCTCCCTTGTGAGGCAGACATGGTGCCACTGAGCTAAATTCCTGGTCCCTCTTCCTCCCTTCCTTCCTTTCTTCCTTTCTTTTCTGTGGCGCTAGGGATCAAACCTGGAGCCTCACACATGCTAGGCAAGCATTCTACAATTGAGCTATATTCCCAGCTCCCAAGAACCTTTTCTTATCATCTCTTACTGGGGAAAGTAAAAATAAGAGAAAAACTACACTAGCTGGGCATAGTGGCGCACGCCTGTAATCCCAGCTCTTGGGAGGCAGAGGCAGAAGGATCACTGAGAATTGAAGCTAGCCTGGACTACATAGTGAGTTCAGGGCTAGTGTGAACTACAAAGCAAGACCCTGTCTAAAAAAAGAGGGGGGAAGGAGAGAGAGAGACAGAGAGACAGAGAGAGAAAGGGGGAGAGAGGGAGGGAGGGAGGAAAGGAGGGAGAGAGATTACCACCAGTTTTTAAAAGATAAATTTCTGGTAAGACAATGGGACAAAGTTCTATGGCTAAGATCTAGTTAAGGGTGTTATCTTTTCAACCCAACCCACTCTTTCAGAGCACCTCTATATAGGTACCACTAGGCTAAGGGAGAGGATGGACAAAGCATAGATAGTAAATCAAATGCCATGCCAGACTTTTTTTTTTTTTTTTTTTTTGGTACCAGGATTGAATTTGGGACCTTGTGCTTGTAAAGCAGGCAGCGGCACCACTGAGCTAAATCCCCAGCCCAAACGCCAGACTTTGTAGGCTTAAAACTACCTAAGTGAGACTTCTGAGTGTTGGGACTATAGCTCAGTGGTAAAATACTTACCTCACATCTGTGAGGCTCTGGGTTCAATCCCCAGTACTGAAATAACAACAACAACAACAACAAAACCCCACAACATCTCTGGTTGTTGTACTCTAAACTGGAATAAAATAGAGGAAAACAAAGCAGACACTTATCAAGTTTTTTTAAGGATTAAAATGCCAGAAAAATGAATAAGTCTGGTCTGTTAAGGCATGTAATTGTTCAGCACCTAACGCAATCCTCAGACCCTTTAGATCTAGTCTAAAAGAAAGTAGGCAACAAAAGTAGAACTCTCAAAAAAACCCCACATATTTCCTGAGGACTATTTCAGATGAGGCTATAAATGATAATAAACAAAGTAGAGGCTCCTTGGACAGGTAAGCCAGAGGTGATAGTTTTCTGATCTTTAAAACAATGACAATATAGGGCTGGGGATTTGGCTCAGTGGCTCCGGCACCTGCTTTGCAAATGCAAAGTCCTAAATTCAATCCCCAGTGCCAAAAAAAAAAAAAAAAAAAAAAAAAAC